TCGCCCTCACCTCTCCCCTGCAGGGTCCTTGCCCCTCCTTCCAACTGGTGCAGTGTCTGTGCCATGCTGGATTCTGTTCTGTGTGCGCCTGGGTCACCCCACACCTACGTGCCACGCAGCCCCGCCCCGGCCCCCCTGCCCTCTGCCAGCCCAGCCCCCCTGCCCCCGGCCCCCAGCCAGCCCGGCCACCCTGCCCCACACCTACGTGCCACACAGCCCTGCCCCCGGCCCCCCCGTCAGCCCAGCCAGCCCTGCCCCCGGCCCCCCTGCCCTCTGCCAGCCCAGCCCCCCTGCCAGGCCCTCCTGCCCCCCGCCACAGGCCGCCCTGCCCCACACCTATGTGCCAAGCGGTGCCAGGCTCTCCCTGGCTGCCCCCGATGCTGAGGGGCAGCACTGTGGAAGCTCCCCCAACCCCTGGGAGGCCCGTGCGGTTAGGGGCTGGCGGGGCAGTGCTACCAGCGGATGGGTTAGTGAGGGTGGGGATCCTGGCTGCCAAGAGACACGCCGGGGCAGCAGCAGGAGTGGGGGCGGGGGGGGAGGCTGGCACCAGACATGCCCTGTGTGAGAGGGGGCGGGCAGGGGGCAGGGGGCAGGGGTGGGGGCCCCACCCAGCTCTTACCTGCGCCAGCCCCGTTGCTGCGCCCCGGGCTGTCCAGCAGCGCCCCCAGCCAGGCCGAGGCGCTCTGCCGCAGCTCCTGCAACAGCAGCGCCGTGTCCCGCCGCACCATGTTCACCGGGCCCAGCTTCTCCAGCCCGGGGGGCTCCCCCTCCGCCGGTTCCGTGCCTGGGGGGCAGGGACAGAGAGCACCGCGTTTCCCCTGCCCCCCCCCAGCCCCCCCTCCCTGCTCGCCCTCCGCCAGCTCTGTGCCTGGGGGGCAGGGACAGAGAGCACCGGGGTCCCCCTGCACCGGGGTCCCCCTGCACCCCACCAGCTCCCCCTCTCCGCTCGCCCTCTGCCGGCTCCGTGCCTGGGGGCAGCGACAGAGAGCAACGGGGTCCCCCTGCACCTCACCCCCCCGCCCACCCTCCACTGGCTCTGTGTCGGGGGGGCAGGGGGAGAGAGCACCAGGGTCCCTGCTCTTCGCCCCCACACCCATCAGCTCCCTGCTTTTGCCCACCCGTCTCCCCATCTTTGCCCCCTGCCCCCTCTCCCATCCTGCCCCTCTCCATAGGACCCCCCCGTACCGGCGTAGGCGCTGAGGCACTTGCAGAGCACGCTGAGGGGCAGCAGGGGGTCGAGCAGGGTAAGCAGGCGGGAGGGCGAGGCCGCGGCCCGCACCAGGGTGACGGGATAGGCCGCCATGATGCCATCGGGCAGCTGGATGCCGAAGGCGGCCGCCCGCATGGTCACGGTGAGGCAGAGGTTCCCACCGGCGCTGTCCCCAGCCAGGCAGACCCGCTGCGCCGTGGAGCCTGCGGGGAGACGAGGTGAGTGCGGGGGGTCAGCAGGGAACCCGGGGGAGGCCACCAGGGGTGGGGGCTCTGTTCATGCCCCACACTCTCCAGCCCCTGCCCGTCCCACCCAGCGAACAGTGTGAGGGTGCTGCCCCCCCACGTGCCCATCACACCCAACAAGGGTGCTGGGGTCCCCCCGTCCCATCCCGTCTCACCCAGCAGGGGGAGCGGGAGTCCCCCCATCCCAGCCCCCCCCAGGGGGTGCTGGGGTTCCCGGGCTCACCCAGCAGGCGGCAGTGACGCAGGGCCCAGCAGTAGGCGTAGAAACACTCCTCCAGGGCGCGGGGGAAGGGGGCCTCGGGCGCCAGGGCGTAGTCGACGGAGAGCACAGGGGCGCCGAGCTCCTGCGCCCAGCCCCGCAGGTACGGCTCGTGCGACTTTGACGTCTGCGCCACGAACCCGCCGCCGTGGAAGTGAACCAGCAGGAGGGGCGAGGGGGGCGCAGGCGCTGCCTTGCGCCACAGCTCCAGCCCCAGTGGGCCCTCGGCTGGGGCCAGTGCGGAGAGTGCCTCGCTGTCCTGGGGAGAGCAGGAGGGACGGTGTGAGGGACCCCCCGACTGTCCCCCCCACCCCAGCACACCCTGCCAGGGACCCCCCAACTGTCCGTCCCCCCGCCGCACACCCTGCCCGGGACCCCCCAACTGTCCCCCCCCCCACGCACACCCTGCCCGGGACCCCCCAACTGTCCCCCCACACACACACCCTGCCAGGGGACCCCCGCTGCCCGTACCCCCTACCCCCTGCACACCCTGCCAGGGACCCCTTGCCATCCCCCAATGTGTGCCCCGCCCAGGACACCCCTAGCGATCCCCAGCAGGGGTGCTGGGGTCCCCTGCCCATCTCCCCCATGCACGCCCTGCCTGGAACCCACCACCTCACCCGGTCCCCGTAGCCCTCCCTGGAACTCCCCCAGGACCCAACTCCCCAGTCCTGCCGGGACACGACCTGGTTCTGCTCACTCCCCTCCCAGAGCTTCCAGCCCTCCTCCCAGCAGCCCCTCACCTGCCCCTCACGCAGCTCGTGGGAGATGAGGCGCATGTGGACAGGCCCAGGGCCGGTGTGTGCTACCGGGGGGCTGATGGTGATGCTCAGCGAAGGGTCGGCAGCCAGCGGCAGCTCGAAGGGCGCGGGGGGCACCGTCAGCGCCCGGATCACCCGCACTGGCGTGGACGCCATGCTGGCCACGGACTGCGGGGGAGGGAGAGGGTGAGAGGAGCCTCCAGGCAGGTTCTACCCTGCACTTCCACCCCGACCCCTGCCCCACAGCGCTTTGCACCGCTCCAACCCCTCCTGCCCCACAGCGCCCTGCGCCGGGCACTGCTCCCACCCCCCTGCCCCACAGCGCCCTGCGCTGGACCCCGCTCCCGCCCCCATGCCCCACAGCGCCCTGCTCCTATCCCGACCCCAGCCCCACAGCGGCCTGCTCCAGGCCCCGCTCCCAGCCCCCACTCCAGCCCCCCTGCGCCAGGCACCACTCCAAACCCCTGCCCCCACCCCACAGTGCCCTGCGCCGGGTCCCGCTCCTACCCCAGCCCCAGCCCCACAGTGCCCTACGCCAGGTCCCGCTCCTACCCCAGCCCCAGCCCCACAGCGCCCTATGCCGGGGACAGCCCCCGCACTCACAGCCAGCAGCTCGGTCTCCGTCAGGTTCCAGAAGCTCTTCCAGAAATGCACGTCGAGGTTCTGCGTGATCCTCTCGAACTCGGCTCCCCGCAGCTCTGGGTCGATGGCGAACTTCCCCGACGTGAACAGCGAGCCGGCCGCCATGCCTGGGGGGACGGAAGATCGGGGGTGGGGTGCTGTCCCCCGGTCCTGCCCCCCCGCCCTGTGGGGCTCCCATAGCCCCCGCCTGCCTCCCCTGGCAGTGCTCCCTCATGCTGCCCCCCGGCCCTGTGGGGCTCCCCCGGCCCCCGCCTGCCCCCCCCCCGGCAGTGCTCCCTCACGCCCACAAGCTTCTTCCACAGCGAAGCTCCATAGGCAGCCAGGCATGGGGCCCAGCCCCCAATGGGCAGGGCAGGGCAGGGGCAAAGCAGTGCATTGTGGGTAGCAGCCAGGCCGGACGGGTTCCCTGGGCAGCAGGCTGGGCTGAGTGGGCCCAGAAGGGAATTGTGGGTTCAGCCAGCCCGTGGCTGCAGTGCATCATGGGAGCAGAATCCCACCCCAGGGGCTGCAGTGCATCATGGGAGCACACCCCCGGGGGCTGCAGTGCATCATGGGAGCAGAATCCCACCCCAGGGGCTGCAGTGCATCATGGGAGCAGAAGCCCCACCACCCGCCAGGCACCCCACTCACTGAGGCCGGAGTCGTGGCGTCTGTAGTTCTCTCCGAAGGAGACCAGGCTGATGGCGATGGTCTGGAGGAAGGGCCGGATGGAGGGGGCAAACTGCAGGGCAAAGGGCAAAGGTCACCGTTCTGCACCCCGAGACCAGGTCGGAGGCTCTGAGGAACACCCCTGCCTGGGTGCTGCGCAGGGAGCACCCTGGGGGCATGATACTGGCTCACCCTCCCCATGGGTGTTCAGTGGGGGGGGGGGGCACAGTGACAGGTGTGGTCGGGGCGTGGGGGGTGTGTGAGCAATTGCGGGGCCCTGGAGGGGGGCCCTGCACCAGGCCAGCAGGGCCCAGAGCGAGGGGCACAGCAGAATCCCTGAGCATGTCTGGCTGCCAGGGACTCAGATGCGTTTCCTTCTGCCCCGGGTCGCCCCTCCCCGACTTGCTGCTCCCCCTAATTCCCCCTCCACACGGCCCCCTCCATTCCCGCCCCGGCCCCCACCTGGAAGCCCAGGCAGCGCCCGTAGAAGCAGCCCTTGTGCAGGGTGCCGTACTCCCGCAGCACCAGCTCGGTCAGGCCGCGCTCCTCGTGGTGGAAGAGGCAGCCGGGGCGGTTGTGGGTGAGCAGGCGCTGTGCCAGGTACAGCAGGGCCCGCAGCTGGCTCAGGGCGGCGCAATAGGCCTCCAGCTCGGCCGCGTTGTGGCCCGTGCGGAAGAAGATGCTGCGGCGGTTGGCGGCCACGTAGCGGCTCTTGTGCAGGACGTGGGCCAGGCAGCAGCGCGTCGTCTGCGCCAGGCTGCGGTACCCGTTGGCCGGCGTGGCCTCGTCCAGGTCGAAGACGTGGTAGACGCTGGCGAAGTGGCGCAGAATCGGCTCCAGGCGGCGGGCGTGCTCCCCGATGGCCGTGAAGGCTGCCACGAACCGGCGCCCCGTCTCCGAGGCGCTCTGCCGGAAGAAGGCCACGTTGTCCTCGGCCACCACGTGCAGGGCCTGGAACAGGGGCCGGGAGTCCATGGCGCGGGGCCTGCGGGGAGATGGGGTTAGCTGGGTGACTTGGGAGGGGGGCTTGCAATGGGAGAGACGGGGGGTATGGTGGAGTAAGTACCCCCCACACTCACCCCTCCCAGGGCCCCAGCTTGGCCCCCCATACCTAAAACCCCCAGCCAGCCCCCAGTATTCAGCCCCAGTTAGGGCCCCCCCATATCACCCCAGGTATTTATCCCCCACATCCTAGCCAGGACCCCTTGTACTTACTCCCTGAGAACCCCGTCAAAGCTCCCCCAGTCACCCCCAGCACCGCAGCTGGGACCCACTTTGCACTCATCCCTCAGCATCCCCCCAGAGCAACCCCGCCCTGTGCTCATCCCCCCAGAGCAACCCCGCCCTGTGCTCATCCCCCCAGAGCAACCCTGCCCTGTGCTCATCCCCCCAGCCGGGACCCCGGCCCCCCTCACCCTCAGCCGGTGCCTGCTCCCCTGGCCGTGGCAGAGCCAGTTCCCTGCGGCTCTTTATAGCCCAGCTGGGAGCCGGCTCCACCCCCGGGGAGGGGTTGAGCCCATGGAAGGGAGGGGGCGAGAGGCACTGACAGGGAGTGGGGAGAGTGGTTAGAGCAGGGGGGGCGGGAGCCAGGACTCTTGGGTTCTCTCCCCGGCTCTGGGAGGGGAGGGGGCTGGTGCATTAGACCAGGGGGCTGGGAGCCAGGACTCCTGGGTTCTCTCCCCAGCTCTGGGAGGGGAGTGGGGGCTAGTGGTTAGAGCAGGGGAGCTGCTCCCATCCGCTCCCCACCCAGGGCAGGCTCACAGCCAGGCCCCCATCTCACCCCACACCCCAGGGCCCTTTCACCCAGACCCGGCGTCCCCACAGCTGGGAGCCTCCGTTTGCGCCGCTCCCCAGAACCCCCCCCTCCAGCAGGGGCTGCGGCTCCTGCCAAACAGGGCCTCACCCATGGGTCCCTGGGGCCCGGCTCGGAGCAAACAACAGCCAGGGGTACTGCAGGGCACTGACCTCCAGAGAGAGCCCCACAGCCAGGCCAGCCAGCCCCGGATCAGCCCCCCGTGGGTCAGCCCCCCGTGCCCGTCCTGCCCAGACACGGGGTGTGTTATCCTGCGGGGGAGGGGCCCCTCTGATGCCAGAGCTGATGGGGTTAATGAGATGGGGGGCTGGCTCTGCTTGGCAGCTGCGAAAGCTCTGGGGATGGGGCAGGAATGTGCACAAACGGCTGGACTGGGGCAGGGGGGACTGGGGCAGGGGTTGCTGGGGGGGGCGCGGGGTCCGGAAGGGCTGGGGAGCGCAGAGGCAGAGGACGCTGGGTGGCTGGACAGGGGGTACTAAGGGGCTGGGGTCTCTCTCTCTAGTGTCTATCCCCCCAGGAAGGGGGTGTCAGAGGGGGA